ACTGAATTGTACATCCCTTGTGTCTCTATGTGTTTTTGCTGTGCAAATGTTACATCTTACCCATGTATAATTGTCATTACTCTAGTACATACAGCAGAGGATGTTTTAATCTGAGCAGACATCTGGTGATGAAAATTACAGCACTGCCATTAGGCATGGGGAATGCCGGAGAAAGACAACAACCTTTAAAAAAAATTTTTTTTCCTGGATTGTGCCAGTAATGAAATTTTTCAAAGGAATCTCAGAAATATCACATTCCTTCACAGCAATATCAAATTCTGTGATTTTGAAACACCATTTGCACAATTTAACTTCTTCATTTACATACAAAGTCCTTCAGATCAATATGCATCGTGAGTCTTAGGAATGGCAGAGCATATTTCTTAATTTGCAGTAAGCGGTACTGCAACATGTAATGCCATGCCATGCAGTATAAAGCTGTGTTAAAAAAAAAATTACAGTAAAAGGATTAGGCTGCTCAGAGTCACTTGAATAAGTTAGGCGGCTATAGAAATTGCATAAATAAATACAATATAGACTTTTGTAATTCTACTACAAACAATGTAGTTACCGTTAAATGCTTCTATATACAATATACGTGTCTGTAGCTTTTCATCAACATCTACACATCTATATCAGTACAGCTACATAGGAATCAAGGGACATCTGCCAATACTCAAGTTGCAGATACTATAATATTTCTATCTAAATAAAATCTAGAACATCTCTTAAATTGAGAACTAATCTTATACTACCAAAGAATACAATATAGCTAATAGAAAGATAGGAGCAGCAATCAAAGGGATTTAACCATTTGTGGAAAGGGATAAGAGCAGTATGGATCTCCAGAGAGATAGCATTCCACAACGCAAGAACATGCTTCATGGGGCCCACAAAGTGATCCTACTTGATTGAAGGGATCTGGCGTGTCTCCACTCTAGCTGGTCTCACTAAACCAGTGGAAAAACATGGGAAAAGGCATTCCCTCAAGTAGCTATGATAACCAGCACCTTGAATTTCAGCCAGAAGTCAACTGGCAGCTGCTAGAGCTTGCAAAATAGTAGAGGTATATGCTCGTATCATGACACACTTCCCGAAATGCTATCTTCCTGCAACGCTGGATTGGACCAGTTGTAATTTCCCAATCTTCTTCAAGGGCAGCCCCATCTAGAGTGACCAAGGCATGAGGGACTGTCTTAAGGATCTCCCTATCCAACAAGGGTCACAACTGGCATACCAGATGAACCTCCTTGGCCACAGCTGCTATCACAGAAGCTGTGAATCCAGGGGTGTCAAACTCAATCTCATTGAGGGCTGCATCAGCATTGCGGTTGCCCTCAGGGGGCCGAATGGGTGCGGCCAGGGTGGGTGCGGCCTACTGGGTGGGCGTGGATGGAGTGGGTGTGGCCTACTGGGAGGGCATGGCCAGCTCTACATCATTCACGTCAAGGGTGCCTGTGGGGGTGGGGCCGACGCAGCAGGGGCTGGTTCCTCACTGTTTCCAGACGGCCTTGTGGAGCTAAGACTGAATGCGTTTCAGCATAGATGGCCACCACAAAATTGTACATTGGCTCCCGGCCGGCCTGGGCCAGGGCCAAGGCAGAGGGGGCCATTTCCTCACTGTTTCCAGGATGGCTTTGCGGGCCACATGAAACCACTTCGCGGGCCGCATCTGGCCCCCTGGCCTTGTGTTTGACATGTCTGCTGTGAATCCAAGAGGATCTCTAGAGTGTGCACTAGTTTCACATGGGGTGGTGCAACCCAATTAAAGACTAGAGATGGAATGTCCCCAGGACTGCAGGTGGGGGTGACGGGATCAAACAGATAACCATTTTGTCTTGTCAGGACAGAACCTGAGTCGACTCCTTCCCGTTCAAGCCTCCCTAGCTTCCAGGCACTTGGGCATGACTTTAAAAGCATCAGTTTGTTGGCTGAAGGTCAAAAGGCATCATTGGATATCATCAGCATATTGATCATACCTGACCCCAAATTGATGAGGTTACCCAGAAGTTTCAGGTAGATATTAAACAAAAGGAGAGAAAAAGCCAAGCCCTGTAGCACCTCAATTAAAACTGGATGCTGAAAAAAAATCAGAATTGGCACATATTTAGATATTTTGCCTGGACTCTTACATCTGTTTTATATTATTTACTTTTTCTTGGACAGCAATAATGTTTCTTATGTGTTGTAGCTTCTTTTTTTATCTATTAGTAATACCCGCAAGAAAAAAGTATGGTATATTATTTTTGTATCATGTGTCATATATATGCCAGAAACAATACTCCAAAAAGGGAAGATCCAAGACAAAAAACATAATTAATGAATAACTGCTGATTACAATTATTTGCCTCTAAAAAAAGTTACCATATTTATGGAATCAGCTGTTCTTGCATCTACATATAGCAATCATTCTCTCTCACAAGCAAATATTCTCATATATTAAGACACAATTGCTGTTACAGAGAAATGTACACATTCTGCTTCCTCCAGCCAAACAGCCAAAAAAAGGAGGAATAAAACAGGAGGGAGAAGAGTGAGGAGAAGGGGTATATGCAAAGGGAAGGAAAGAACAAAAAGAAAAATCTTATTTAGGTGTTAAGGATTAAATAATGAACTGGGCAGTTTACTCTAGCTCAGGGCTTTTCAACCAGTGGTACGGGTACCACCTGTGGTACATTGGCACCTGGCAGGTGGTACGCGACCATCCTAGAAAAGTGGTAGTGGGGGAGGGGAATGAGCTGAACCGGTGGCAGCACCGCACAAGCCTGAGCAAGAGACAGCTGGAGCTGCAGGGCTGTCAGGGCTCAGCGGAAGCGCCAGGATCAGTGCCGCTTTCCAGCTGATTGGTGCTTCTTCGGGGCTGTCAGGGCTCAGTGGAAGCTCCAGGATCAGCGCCAGGCTCCAGCTGCGGCTCGGTGATGATCCTGGTGCTTCTGCTGAGCCCTGAAGAAGCACCAATCAGCTGGAAAGCAGCACTGATCCTGGCGCTTCTGCTGAGCCCAGAAGAAGCACCGATCAGCTGGAATGTTGCAGCATCTCCAGGGTCTTGTGATTTACATTCAGATGCTTGGCAACTGATTCATATTTATGACAGTCACAGTGTCCCAGGGTCATGTGAAGTGACCAAAACCTGCTGCAACCACCCAGAAGACAGGGGGAATAAAAACCAAACACCCCCCCCACCCCAACCCCGCTGCCAATCCTCAACAGACATGCTCACAACAATGAAAACCTCGGACAGGAGGAAGAGCGCCGCCGGGCAGGCAGGCAGGTGTCTTGCTCGGCTGTGGCTTGGAGGGCACTTTTTTCAGTGCCATTGTAACTTTGAATAGTCACTAAGTGAACTGTAGTAAGTCAAGGATTACCTGTACTTTATCACTTTTTTCAGTGGTTTTTTTTTTTGGTCATCATGTTTTTGTCACCTTGCTAGGTGACTGGTGGTACTCGGATATTGCCATATCCTAAAAATGGTACAATGGGTGAAAAGGTTGAAAAGCCCTGTCCTAGGCGACTGGTGGTACCCGGATATTGCCATATCCTAAAAGTGGTACAATGGGTGAAAAGGTTGAAAAGCCCTGCTCTAGCTAAGCAATGACTGGTTCTAAAGTAATTCTTCAAAGTTATCCATGTTTTTCAGCAGCAGCAATGTTTGCAATCGTTTATATCTCTTGCTTATTCCTTTGCCTTCTACAGAATTTTTTTTTCTATTCTTATCAATTAATATAAAGTTAATCCTTCAGAATCAGTGAATGTAAGATGAATCCTTTAATTCAATTTAGGGGAAAGCACTTCATACATTATTAGTCTGTATTTTTTTTTTTACTCGAGTCCTATTTTAGCTAATTGATTAATTGCATGAATGTCATGGCCCTCTATGGGTATGCAAATTCCTACTCCCATGGAGGGAAATGTATATCCATTTATTGGGTCCTGGATGATCAATGTAATGTGGACGTCCAACTGCATTTACATTGCCTGTATTATGTAGAAATCAGCTCCTACATGGAAAGTCTCTTTGACTGGACTATGGCTTTCTAAACTACCAATAAATGTGCATTTCAAAAGTGTTTTTATTTCGCATGTGCATTTATAGTGTTCCTAAATCTGTCTATGTGTTTAAAAAACTAAGGCCATGAAACAATTCAAATTATATTTGAAGGTGGAGGTGTATAAATGCACTTGCTGATTCCATGTTATAGCACATATATAACAAGAAAAATAATGTGTCTTTATGAGTTGTGGAGGTTAACCAGGGGGAAAAAATGCAAACTAACCAGTGCACAAAATGCTGATCTTTTGTTTACAAATTCTATTAGTTTAACAAAATATAAAATACAAAGGAAAATAAAAAAGTAATGGAAAACTAGGCGAAGGAAAAAGGGAAGAAAAGATATGGGGTAGAAAGGGAAAAAGAACAAAAAAGTTGACATCTAACTCTTTTTACACAGTAGAAGATAATAACATAACAACCTCAATATTTTACTTTTACACAATAATATATACACTAGCTATTTCTGTAAAAATGCTGATCTTTTATGAAAATACGTTCACCTACTAAAGTCAGGGCAAGTACCATAATTATAAATGCATTCAGACATTTCAGTGGTCCTTCTACAGCAGTTCAGAATTTCTGTAAGTGTGATGTAATTCTTTACATCAATTATCAGGTGAGCTTGTCCCCATGGCTGCCATTTCTATTTTCATAAAACTGATCCACGAAAATAAACCATTTAGAGCAAAATACGTATTGCTTGAGAAAAGAACCAATTACAGCCTTCTCATCTTCGTATCTTGCCACTTCATAGTCAAAAGCATTAGGCATCATCCTGATCTGTTCAGACAGATTTGTGAACCATATGCATGATTTCAGTAAATAATATATCCTGTATGTAATAGGGTGATATTCAACTTTGCTTGGAACTGATAGGCTTATAATTATAATCCTGTACATTTCATCACTAAACATTAGATTTTTCTCATATTTTATAATAAATTTTTACCTGAACAGTTTGTTTGCTGGCCTGAAGTTGCTGTTTGGTTAGATGCAACTGGGATGTTAATCTTTTGTTTGCTTCCCTGGACTTTTTAAAAGATAATACTGCTGTTCGTTTTGATTTTTGAACTACAGCTAACTGCTGCTGTAAAGATGTGATACGTCCCCAAAGTGACATGGAGCAGCCAGGTTTCTGGACCATGATACTTCTTATCTTCTCTCTGTTAACTAAAAGTTTAATATTGACCAATTATTAATCTGACACTAAATTAGCTTCAAAGAAATGACTTTTTTTCTGTTGCAAAGGACTGCTGAATGTCCTTTGCAACATCCAATAGAACCAAACCCAAGTTTTTCCTGCTACAAAACACAATATATACTATACAATTCCCAGGGTATATGCCGTGATGCCGAAATTGCAAAAACATTATATTTTGCTAGCCAAAACAGTAAATTTGCTTCATTTCGATGACTTGCTCCTCTTAATCATATCATCCGGAGTGTATTAGCTATGCTTCCAAAGCAGAATTAGAAACAAACTAGTAACTACATTGCAAACTATTTTGTTAGTACTCTGTGCATTTTTTTGTAGTCTCCTAGTGAAAAATCTAATCAAAAAAGAGGGGGAAAATCGATATACTCCTTAGCCTAAAAGACTGCCAAGCCTTCTTCTAAAAGATGAAGTAGGTTGAAGTAGGACATTAAATTTTAAGGTGAGTGAAACATGTGCTTTTATTTAATATTATTGAATAAGTATATCTGCCTGGCCCAGGTCCTTGGGAAGGGTTCAACAGATGGACAAAAATGCCAAATCCAGTATAAACATCTGGCTCACTGTACAACTGGTCCCAGAAGTTATCAGTACATTGGATGCCATACCAAAAAATCTTGGACAGCGCTTAGAAAACATGAGCATTGACAAAATTTCCATCTATCAATTACACAAGGCTACAGTGCTTGGATCCATATACTATGCCAATACATTAAAGTATTCTAGTCTTGGGGAAGAATTTGATGCATATAAAGGGCAATACCAGCTAAAAGAATGGCCAGCTGTGATTTCACATTTTTGTGTATATAGTAACAGTAACAATAATTGCAAATAATTTTTTATAATTTTAAGATTGCAAAACGGTTCGAGTACTTATTTTGCAGTCTTAAAAAAAATCTGCTTTCTATCCTGAGTGACGAGCATAGCCCATAAAGTCTGGAGTGATGAAGGAAATAGCTTTGAGAATACATAAAGGCAGCAGAGAAAGAAACCTACTTATATTAAGACAAGGTTAAGAAACATAAAAGCAGGTATGCTCTCAGCAACTAGTCCATCCCACTTTAAGGAAATTCTTTTTACTTATTGATGTATTCAGTTGATATATCCTCTCTGATGCTGTTAGAGAGATTTGAAATACAGTATCCACTATAGGTCTCAATTTGGCATTTTTTAAGCCACAGTACATTGTCTGTTTTATCCAGCTGGTGTTATGTTGAAACCCCTGCTAGTGCACATTGAAGAAATTGGTCTCAAAATCCTGACTACTAGGGATTAGAGAGAAGGAGTAAAATATAAGCAACCAACTGCCTTCTTATAGATTTTTTTAAAAAATAAAAAAGAGGGAGGGGGGTACTGACAAATACACCATCTGATGACTGCCTTTAAACTGCCTTTTCTTACTATAAGGGAATATAAAATCAAATTACCTTAATGAAAAGACTTCATTTTCTTGCTCCTGAGGAGAAGAGTAAATTTCTTTTCTTTAAATTATAATGATCCTGGTGCATCTATTTTATTTTAGATATTTGTGAGCTATATTGATGACTGCTGTCAATCCAGATGCTATCTATCCACAAATGTAAATATAATTTTGCTATTACAAAAAGATTTTATGTATTCTTACCTTTGTAAGGATTGAATGCCGAATTTAGAATCTTTTTCCTTTGGACAGTCATTACTAATTCACCTTTCCTTTTCTACAAACACAAGAAAAAATATTATATTCCTAGGATTTACATGTTTCCCCAAATACACACAGTGTGTGTGTGTGTGTGTGTGTGTATGTGTGTGTTAAATTTTTTTTTGCTTTATTGCTAACCCTAAAATCTTGGAACTAAAACAATAAATAAACAAAAATGCTACCTTTCTCACACTTATGACCTTAACTTATCAATGTTGTGTTGTCATACTGAGGAGCCTCCCCAAATAATTGCCATTCCATTGTTAAACGTTATGAAGTCTTTATTTCTGTGTGAAATGAAATGAAATATTCACTTCATATGTATTAGCTCCCCCTAGAACAGAGATTCCTAAATTGTCTGACCAAATTATCCCTTTTTCTAGTCTGGAATAATGTTGTGATCTTCACCAAACACCAGACAAACCATCACAGCAGTGATAGCCCCAAACTAGATCCTCGACTCACAATTACAAATTGCTCCATTATCCCTAAACTATACCCAAATTATTTTCTTGGAGTGATTACTAAAGGATCACTGTTCTAGAATTCTACTTTTTCATATCAATGGTTATGCTTGACTTTCCTTAACTGGTCTAAATATTCAAATATTGTTTGTTAGTTAATCCAATTCATATAACTGTCCATCTCACAAAACAAGTGAATCCGGACGGAATAAAGCAAAGCCAAAACAATTAATAAATACCTAAAACAATTATCAATGTTATTATTAAAAACTTAAAAACTATGAAAACAAAATTAAAACAAAGTACCAGTAAGCAGTTAATATTTAAAAAAACCTCCCTTTTTACGACCATGTAATCCCTAATTCAGGGTAGAGTAATATAAGATATTAACTGAAAATGATAAGGCTACAGCATCCTATAGATAAGGTAACTGGGAAAATGTTAAAATATACATACAATTTGCTTAGTACAATGGTTCTCAACCTTTTCTTCACCACAGACCCTCGCAAACATCTTTTGTGGCCACAGACCACCAAGACTTAACTCAAGGTTTAAATCATAACATTTCTTCAAGCCTTCATAGACCCCCTCCTACAATGACATCATGCCCCCCTGGGGTCCAAGGACCATAGGTTGACAACCACTGGCTTAGTATATCCATATTTTGTTTGACATGTGTAAAGATTTTATTCTGAATCTGACAATTGGATGGATGTTGTTATTGTCCCCTTGTACAAAGGCAAAAATTACAGGGGGATTAGAGCATTAAATGTATCTGAAAGGGTATGAGAAATGAACATGAGTACTTGAAAAAGAGGTAAGTCAAAACTTTAAAGAATAAAAGATCCTGTAGAAAGTGTTGTATGAAAAAGATGGCATCCTGACTGGTTTGCAACAATAGAAATGAATTTATGTAATATGCATTTCATTGTTTCCTCTTACTTATTTCTTTTTCCCCATTTCTTTTGCTTATTACTTAATTTTCTTCTGTTTCCATAATGGTGTTTATTCAGTTAGAGAATAACACAACGGTATGTATGTAATATATACTTTTGCAAAATGCGATATAGGTCAATTTTCACATTGTTATTTCTAATAGGATTATTATACTTGCATATGACTTATGTTTGTATGAGCTGGGTCCACATTGTATTGCATCAGAAGGCAAATGCTTAAGACTAGATTTAGTGATCATTTAGTACTGTAAATGTGAACGTATATAATACAACCTGAACAACAGCTGACAGTTGTATAAGAGTTTAACTCATGTCAGTGTAATATAAATAACATTGCTGCACAATCTGAACCCCTGCCATTTATTAATATCTTTTAGAAGAACAATGGGAATATGCAAATGGCATAAGTTCTCTGTTCCTAAGTCATTCACTAATCTATAAGGAAATCTTTAGAAATGCTGTTGAAATGGCAGTCCCAAATTAGTTACCAATCCTCTAACTTAAAAGAGGTATTTGTTCATATATAAAGATTAAGATATGCCTGCATTATTTAAAGTGTTCTGTTCTCAGAATAAAGGATCTCAAAAAAAAACCCAATATTTTCTAGAAGGAAAATTATTGGATTCAAATATAAAAGATTACTCTACTGCAAAATTGCTAGCTTAAAGATGGATTTTCAAGGAAGTTAAAACGGCTAGTGAACTGTCGTTTGCAAATATGCTTTTCAAAACTGATAGTGACAACTATTCTCATGTAGTCTGGCATAGTCCTTTTCAGTTGTGAACTGCACCAAAACTTAAACTTTGGATCACTGGTAGTAGGTAACTAGTGTTGTAAATTTTAACTGTTTTTATATTTATCTTTTTATCATTTCATATTTATCTTTTTATACCATTTTATAAGCCCAGAGTCACTCCAATGGCAAGATGAGTGTGTGTGTGTGTGTGTGTGTGTGTGTGTGTGTGTGTACGTACACACCCACCCACCCACCCACACACGTATGTATGTATGTATGTATGTCTGTCTGTCTGTCTGTCTGTCTGTATGCAACACAAGTGAATGCACTGAAGTAACTCAAACCTTACCTTTTTCTGATGTAATTTGCTTTCAGTTTCTAAACACTTGCTGATTGGAGTTATTTTATTATTCACGACCTTATTTTGTTCTTGCTGTTCATTTTTTTTGGTCAGTGTAATATGATGTACTGCTTTTGTCTCCAGGTTTTCAGAATTCAGTATTTCAGAATCGCTAAGAAGATTGCATTAAAAAAAAAAAAGATTTACTGGTCTTAGATTTAATTGTCTATGCTGATCAATTGTAGAACAAATAAAGTCATTGCTATAACTTCTGTACATTTAGACTTATATGGAAAGTACTTATCCAGAACCCTCATCGAGAACCTTATATAGCTGAAGACATTTTTTGTAGGAGATGCATCCTGTACTGTATGCTCCTGGGAATGGCTCCAAACAATACATCAATCCATGCCTAAACATCAAGGTAGTACTGAATTAACGTGACAGTGAAACTGTGACCATTTACAAATTATCAAACTGTCACAATGTTTACATGTTGAATAGGGAGATTCATATTGAATAGGGAAAAGTCGTAGAAGAAGCTACAGTTCCTATAGAGCAGTGTTTCTCAACCTTGACAATTTTAAGGCATGTGGACTTCAACTCTCAGAATTCCACAGCCAGCATTGCTGGCTGTGGAATTCTGGGAGTTGAAGTCCACATGCCTTAAAATTGTCAAGGTTGAGAAACACTGCTATAGAGTATGCTCTGACATGCAATTGAATAGCTTAGCATTAAGTAATGCAAGTCAACTAAGGGAAAAATATAGGGAGACGCCTGGGCCGATTAACTTAAAAATCAGAAAGCAATTAGAAAAAAAAAGAATCATCAGGTTTCAGCTTATCTTTATGAAGCAGCATATACTGGGGTTGGTGGGAGACATGAGGGAGGGAAGGAGCAAATACAGCTTAATGTTAGTTCAAGCCTTCTACTATAATTCTCTATGAGGAATGCCAGAGTAATAAGAAGCAAAACACTTCAGATTCTGGGGATGCTTGGAATTTTGAAAGCAGGAAAGAAATGAGCTCAAGAAAAGAGAACCTCTAAACTCTAATCTCCCCATCAGAAAGAGACCACAGAAGTTTGTTTGTTTGTTGTTGTTTTTTTGAGGGGAATGGAGGGGAATTGAGAGGTATCTTGACTCCTGTCTACTGGGTGGACAAATACCTGCTGTTATCTTGGCAAGATTTCAGAAGTGGTTTGCCATTGACTGCTTCCTAGGGCTGAGAGCGAGTGACTGGCCCAAGGCCACTCAGCTGATTTTGTGCCTAAGGCAGGACTAGAACTTACTAATCTCCCAGTTTCTAGCCTGATGCCTTAACCGCCATACCAAACTGGTTCTCCCATGGAACGTTAGTCTTCCCTAATATGTACTATAACAGGCTTTATGATTTGTAGAGAAGGAGATGACACCAATAAATTAAAAATATTGCAGGCCATACAGGAGTACTTGATTCACTGATCAGCTGTTCAGCTAGTGAGGCAGCCACAACATTGGAACTGGAGGTGGCAATGAGGCCTAGGAGCATTGGAGGCTTATAAGTGCAAAATTTGGGGACAGCAACAGTGAATTTATTGGCTTCTTTTAAAAAAAAAACTCAGATGGACCATGCCTGCAGGATATATGTTGCGCAGAACAATATCCATTGTTAGGACCAATTCAAGTTTGGCAATGAAAAAATTCAGCACGGGTAGCAATAAACATTTAAACCTATATCACTGATGGCTCTAAAGAAGAAATTTCACAATAGGGAAATCTGGCTGCAAACAATTCATTTTGGAGGAAGTGAAGATTTAGAACAGCGGTTCTCAACCTATGGGTCGCGACCCCATTTGGGGTCGACCGACCATTTCACGGGATCACCAAACAAGGATGTCCGCCATTTTTTCCCCTTTTCCGGCGGGTGCCTTACCTCCCTTGAGCTGGGCCAGCTGGTGGTCGGCCTGCTCCGTCTCTGCCGCTTGACAGCTACGCCTCGGCTGGTGCAGGGGGCGGAACCACGCATGCGCGGCGCTCCCGGGCAGGGAAAGTCCTCGACTTATGACCAGTTGGGTAGTCCTTGACTTACGACCAGTTTAGTCCTCGACTTACGACCGGTTTAGTCCTCGACTTACGACCGGTTTAGTCCTCGACTTACGACCGGTTTAGTCCTCGACTTATGACCGGTTGGGGGTCGCGGCATTAAAAAGGTTGAGAACCACTGGTTTAGAATAATTCTTATTTTTCCTTTTTCTTCAACTACAGAAAGCTGAAGGATACGTTTAGATTGGGTGGATTGATTATAGTAATGACTGCTGAAAAACTATGCTTCCTGAAACGAGCATCAGGCCCCTGATCATTAATGATAATTGCTGTGTCAGTCAAGCTGGTAGTGACATATAGACTATAGTCTACAGCATACCCTTGACAATAAGCTTCTAATTAGAAGCACTTTATCCCAAAGGAAAATTAGCAGCAGATATTATCAATTACAATTAACCTATTTCATAAAATTTTGGCATTATGGATGACATCTCTCTTCAAGGTACAGAGGATAAAATTGAATATCCAGCTTTAAAGAACATGCCCCAAGCTAACATCTCATGACCATAATCTCAAAAGTAAGTGGTAATACACCATCAATCTGCTACACCAAGAGATGACAAAACTTTCAAATGCATTTACAAGCAGGAGCAAGGATATGTTAGAGCATGGGTGTCAATCTCGCCGTGTCATGTGATGTGTTGCGACGTATCGTGACTTTTTTTATATTGCCGGAGCTGGGGTAGGCACGGGCTGCAGTTTGACACCCCTGTGTTAGAGGCATTAACAGTCCTGTGTTAGAGGCTCTAAAACAGCTAGTAAAATGCCCAACAAGAGGGGACTATATTCTAAATTTAGTTTTGACCAATGGGGATGGGATATTAGAAGTTGATGGGGGAAAACTTGGTTTTCAGTGATCACCAATGCCTTTGGTTTGTCATTAAAACTAAAGCCGATATAACATACACTAAACTTGAAGTTTAGGCTTTAACCAGACAAATTTTTACCAAAATGGGGGATTATCTAAAATATAAACCTGAAGGGTGACAGGAGTCAGTGCTCGGTGGACGCTGATAAAAGCTGCCATCTTGGAGGCAACTAGTCTTCATGTGAGGCCCATTAGTAAAAGCTAGGATTTACTAGGATAGTAAAGGAGAAAACAATCAGCGTATAACAGATATAAGAATAGCAGAAATGTAGCTGATAGGCAGGTGTATAAGAACCTATAGAGAAAGCCAAACAAGTCATTAGTGCTGCTAAAGCACAGAAAGAGGAGGAACTGGCTAAAACTATTAAAAATGTAAACTAAAACTTTTATGTTAAGGGAGATCTGGCTAAAGCAAATCTTAATAGAAGACTGTTCAGTCTACTCGGAAGTAGATGCCGGTAACAAAAACAGGTAGGGTGGATCATAGTACCCTTGTAGTGCAGTTTCTTTTCCAGGGGTTTTAGAGGTGGGGATGGCAGATGAGTTATCCCACTTAAAGCTTAATAAAGCAAAAGGTCCAGATCATATTCACACCAAAGTCCTGAGAGAAATTCTAGGTGTGCTCGCTGGACCATTAATTGTTCTGTTTAACCAATCTCTTCTAACAGGTGAAGTTCCCAAGGACTGACGAACAGCTAATATTACATCCATCCACAAGAAGGGGGCTAGGGAAGAAGTTGGAAACCATAAGCCATTAAGCTTAAGACTGGTAGTAGTGAAGTTAGTGGAACCACTCCTGAAAAAAGGGATTAAAAAACATTTAAAAGCGCATGTGACTGTTAATGGGGCACTGTCTGAACAGAGACCTGTCACAAGCAATGTACTGTAAGGCTCAGTTCTAGGTCCTATTCTGTTGAATGTGTTTGTAAGTAATATAACAGAGAGATTGCTAGGTAAGATTTGTCTTTTTGCTGATAATACAAAGGTCATAGAGATGATGTTCCTGGGGATATTCATAAAAGAAAAATGATTTGACATTGTTGGAAATAGGTCAAAAATATGGAAACTACAGCTCAATATTTCTAAACGTAAGATCATGCACTTGGGGAAAAAGAATCCTCTGGCAGAGTACGGTATTGGGGATACAGTGTTAGACAGAACAACAGAAGAAAAGGATTTAGGGGTGCTTATAGCAGATATTGCTAAATGACTAAACAGAGACGTCACTTTAAAAAAAAACATATCGATAAGATTGAACAAGTCCAGAGATAGGGAACAAAATGGTGCAAGGTTTGAGGGACAAAATATTTCTGAATATGTACAGGCTGGAAGACAGAAGGGAAAGAGAGGACATGACTGAAATCTTTAAATAGATTAAGGCTGTGAATAAAGTTCTAGAAGGCAGTATTTTCAATATGAAGCAAAAATCAAGAACACGGGCATAATTTCCAACTGACAGGAGGGAAGCTCAAAAGTAACATTAGAAAGCATTACTTCACAGAAACAGTAGTAGAAGTTTAGAAGCAACTTTCAAACAGAGATAGTGGGTGAATCATCAGTAACTGACTTTAAACATGCTTGGGATATAAACACATGTCTGTCGTCCAACAAAAATTAAATTAAAATTAAAAATAATAATTAAAAATAATTAATTAAAAAGGAAACAAACAAAAAACTCAAAAGGCAGACTTAATGGACCACTGGATCTTTTTCTTTCATCATTTTTTTATGTTTGTATTAATTTTTATTATATTATGTTTTATTATATAAAGAGCTGTGGGGGCGCAGTGGTTAGAATGCAGTATTGCAGGCTAATTCGGCTGACTGCCAACTGTCAGCAGTTTGGCAGTTCGATTCTGACCGACTCAAAGTTGACTCAGCCTTTCATCCTTCGGAGGTAGATAAAATGAGGACCCAGATTGTTGGGGGGAAAAGGCTGACTCTGTAAATTGCTTAGAGAGGGCTGTAAAGCGGTATATATGTCTAAGTGCTATTGCTATTATATTATTTATCGTGAAAAATAACTATAGACATACGTTCAAATTTTCTAAATTTCAAAGTCATACATAAATACCAACATAGTACCCTTCCTATTTGCATTTTATTAGTTCTTTTCTTGGTGAGCAGTATTAATGTACATGAAAGCAATATATTATTAAGTTATTATGATAACGTTTTATATAAAAGAGTATCTGTTTGATGTATGACATATCCCATATGCATTTCCCATGAGGAAATTTGAGGTATGAAGAACCTCTTGCTCAATTGTGTTAATATTTAGCAGATGTGATAGTTATTTTAAAAAGTCTTCAGCGTTGAATAATCCTAAATCACAAGTTACCACTGGCTTTAATGGGGGACTCAAAGCTTAATTAAGCTGACAGAATAAGAACTTAGGCTCCAATTGTAAAGTCAGTGATTAAGTCTTACTTTCATTAACTTGGATTATTTTCATACTTCTGTTTTCTCTAACCACAAATAAGTTGCAATAGCAAAGAAAGAATTTATGGTTGTGGAGCTAGTAATTCATACCTAAAATATCTTCAAACAATTGTGTCTGATCTTATATTATTCAGAATTTTTTATATCTACTCTTCTATAAGCTGGAGCTTATGGGGAAACCCATTTGAAACCAATTATGGTTTATTCATGATTGTGCACACTAAGATAACTATGAACCAGATCATTTGTTTAAAACAAATATTGTACAAATCAATTTTTCATAAATTTAAATTGCTGAATTTGAGTAATATACAACATTTAAAGTTCTACAAATGAGAATTAGTAAGATTTCTTTCTATCTTATGTAAAAGCTAAACCATATCAAATATTCTAGAGATTATTAATTAATAGTATTAATTAGCAAATAACACAGTGGACAGTGTCAATGATATACTATACCGTTTAGGATGCTGGACTACTACCAGGGAAACCCAGATGAAAGTCCACCATCAACTGTAGAAGCTCACTGGGGGATTTTGGAAAAATCAGTCATTTTTAGGAAAATCTATCTGCTAGAGTTTTTGCAAAGAAAAGCTATTATTTCAGTTATTTTAATGTACTAGATGAGCCTGTAAACTGTTGAAAGTTATCTGACTTTGGCAGAGTTGTTTTTTTAAATCCATAAATCTGTATTCATACATACATACATACTTTGACCCTTGAAAAAAAGGCAGAATATCAATCCAACAATTAAAAAGTTCAGCACAAGGCCTGCCTGAACAATATTTCTGATTGTCTCTGAATTATGTATATAAAGTAGAATAAAGCAAAAGGTAAGAAACTTTGCGTTCATAGTTTATGAAATCACTATAAAACACATGATTTCAGTCTTAGAAATAACTTTTGTTATGTTGTGGGATCTAAGGAACCTATGCAGTTCTACTTATGGTTACAGAACTAATTTTCAACAATCATTCAATTACACTTAGTACAATGACTGTGCATGAAACATACATGAAATAATTAGTGTGGAAGGTCCTTAATTTAAAGGACACAAAACAGCTTGTAGACATCTGGTAGCAAGTTGAAATGGGTCATTCAAAATTTATCTAACCAAATTAAGGGGAAAAGTGTTTCTCCTCCTGGGTCGGCATGTCACAAGATAACTAAACTGACTTCATGGGTTTGCTTGGGAATCCTTAGCTGTCAGAAGTGAATATGCAAAGGGCCAGCAAATTAAATCAACCTGCCAAACTGTCAATTTCAAGCCTCATGGCTACATGAAAATAGCATCACTAGAAGAAATCAAGCATTGCCTTCTTTTGGGTTTCCTGGCACCTATTCAAATACTCGTGCAGTTGTGGCTAATTTTGCATGCAAATTTCAGTCAATAAACTCAGAACAAGACCTCCCAAGATATTTCAAAGACTCTGACAGTATTTTTTCTGCATATCAAATCGACAGTAGTTGAAATTCAGTTTCTATTTGCTAGTGTTTTGCATATGCACAGTGTCCCTTCTACCGAGCTAAGTTAATGAGAGCTGTACCTGCTTTCACTCATATCTTCCCAGCCGTCCTTACTGAAGTTCTCAAGTGCACCACTCATATCCTTGATGGACTGATTGCAAAGAGATTGATGTTCCACCAAGTTCTTTTTCTTTCCTGTTTTCAGTTTAACACTGGCACCTGTATTCTTACAACTACACTGTCCACAAGCTGCTTCCACTGTGGTTTTGGAGTCAACCATTTTTGTTTTGCTCAGTAAGCTTTGCAGTTGTTTCACTTGAATCAGCAAATCCACGTTTTCATTTTTCAATAAATTTCCTTCTGCCACTTGCCTCTTCAGAGACGTGATCTCTTTTTCCAATCCATCTATTATTAACTGGAGCTTAGCTTTGTCCTTCTTTCCTTCTGTGATCTTTTCCACAAGTATCTTCAGCTCTTTTTCTCTGTCTTCTGCAACGTCTGTATGCTTTTTAAGCAATAGTTTCAGGTCACTTTTATCCTTAACTAACCCTTTATTAATTTCCTTCAGCTTCTTGGATTCTTTTTCAAAGCCCATTATTCTTCTTTCCAATTGTGAAATCTGAATACAATAGAAAAAAAATCACTTTTAATGTTTTACGTAGAGGCTGGTTTTTTTCATTATGACTTAATATCCTATATAATCTCTGGAAATAAAATTCTATCCAGGACAACTATTTCAAATAACAAATGGAAAAAATAACTTCGCAGTAATGAGGAGGAAGGCATTTGTATTGCAATAATACATCTGTTAAAAAAGGATATGTCATAAAATAAATTAAAATTCCTTACACAGTGACACAAAAGTGATATGAAACAAAACAATGCCTATTTATAACTTCAGTGATTTCTCAGTAGTTAATCAACTTTTTTTAAAAAAATAATTATATAGTAGTCCAGACTACAATTTTGGCTTTGATTTTGTATCATGATTTAAAACAAGTTTGCTGTTGACACTCTGTATTTCAGTTTTTTATAATGAAATACTGGTAATCCTCCACTTACAACAGTTCATTTAGTGACTGTTCAAAGTTACAACAGCACTTTAAAAAGTGACTTATGACTGTTATTCATACTTATAACTGTTACAGCAACCTCATAGTCACGTGATAAAAATCCAGACATTTGGCAACTGACTCATATTTATGATGGTTGCAGTGTCCTGGGGTCATCGATCATCTTTTGCAACCTTCTGACAAGCAAAGTCAATGGGGAAGCCAGATTCATTTAACAACCATGTTACTAACTTAATAACTGCAGTGATTCACTTAACAACTGTGGCAAGAAAGCTCATAAAGTGGGGCAAAACTCACTTAACAATGGTCTCATTTAGCAATAGATTAAAACCTAAGTTAACGACATATTTCTGCTGATGGAAATGGTAAAAACCCACCAACTTTTTTCTTTATAATATGGTTTTGTATTTATTACTTATGTCATGATTTTGACCACTACGTCTTCAATGGTATGGTCCATTTTGACAATACGAGTGTCCTTGTTATAGATTTCTTCTTCATAAATAAGGACAAACGTAATTTTCAATTAATAAGTGTTATATCAATGTATCTTTTTTTTTTTTTAAGAAATTTTATTTATTTTTTCAATCATAAAAAACAATCACAAGTAAACACAATAACCAAATGTATCTTTGAGCCTCTATTTCTGTGGTGGCGAATGTATGGCACGCAGAGCCCTCTCTGTGGGCACACGTGCCGTCGCCCCAGTCCTAGGCCTTCAGCTGGGTTTTATAAAACCTTTTCGCTTTAGGCCTCCACCACCGTGTGCAAAAAAAAAAAAAGGTTCAATCAATCAATTTCAACTTCTCGCAGGAAAAAAAAGATCTCGCAAAGTTGGAATTGATTGATTGAACTTTTTAGTCCTATCCAGTCTGCCGTTACCACTGCAGCCACGCCCACCCAATGGGCCACACCCACCCAATGGGCTATGCCCACCTGGCACCCGACGATACATAAGTGGGTTTTGGGTTGCAGTTTGGGCACTCGGTCTCTAAAAGGTTCGCCATCACTGCTCTATTGTAAGCACATTTTTGAATTTGGGCTTAAGTAACTCCAGCACTGAGATTGATTGCTGTGTAAGAAAAGAAAATTTATATCTTAGGTAGAAAATACCATAACTAAAAGTTCTTCACTCCAGAATTTCAATTAGAAATTGCTCTAGAAGGAATTATTAGGGCTATTACTTCCTACTATAATCCAATAGTTTGGGAAAGACATCATCAGAGGTTCCTGTATTAGGCCAAACCATTCTTGACAGTTATGTCATTAAAATTATATATCATAAACTCCTTCTATCCCATGGGTGATAGATACGACATCCTCTATCACTCAATTTGTTTTCCATTACTCACTCTATCTTAAGATAAATGAATGT